CGCATTTGGGCGACGAATGGGCTATCGGAAGAGGAGATGGAGGAAGAGAGGAGAATATGTGGGCCGAATGCGTTGCAGATGACGGGGAAGGAGTGGGGCCCTGGGAGAATTGGGAAACCTTCAATGGCTGAGCAGGAGGGAGAAGCGTTGGGGAAGTTGAAGAAGCTCAAGGAGGAGAGCGATGAGGTGGTGGAAGAGAAGAAGAAGAAGAAGAGGGAGGATGAGTGGTGATGTCCTGTTCAAGTAAGGAAAAGATATGGAGGGTGGAGGAAATTGTGTTTTACATAGATGGAATGAGCGAAATTTCTTTGTTCATGGCGTGACGGAAATGGATTGTTTTATTCTTCCCATGTATATAGTTATGACGATATTGGCATGCTGCACATGTGGCCACTTGGTTTTCGCACTATGAGCATTTATTGGCGTTGCTAGGGGATATACAGAATAAATATTTACCACTTAATGAGAATCGGTGCATTTTTAAAAGTCCTAGAATACTATACAAGTCATCAGAACATTACCCATCACACATCTATCATGCAGACCATCTTCATCCATGAGCAATAACCTTCCCTCCTAATTTTCGGAAATACGTGTCCTGCGCTGGTTACCCACCACTTCCCAATATGTCTCCTAGACGGCGTAAGTATCACCCGTGATCTTCTCATACGCCTCCTGATACTTCTCTCCGGTCCTCCTAACCACCTCTTCATCCATACTCACCCCATCTTTGCCCTTCAGCCCATTCTTGACCAGCCAATCCCGCAAAAACTGCTTATCAAAACTCTCCTGCGACTTTCCAACCTCATAGTTCGCAGCAGACCAGAACCGCGACGAGTCCGGCGTCAGGACCTCATCAACCAATACCACTTCATCCTTCTCCGTGTCCAGCCCGAACTCGAATTTTGTATCTGCGATGATGAGTCCCCGCTCGAGAGCGTGGGCGTGGGCGGTTTCGTAGAGTTTTAGGGCTAGGGAAGATATTATAGAAGCGTATTTGGGGCCGAGGAGGGTTACGGCTATAATAAAATTGTCAGCTATGTTATCGGGAATATAACATTTATGAAGGGAAAGGGTGGGGTGGGGTGTGCTGGAGGAGTGGGGTTGTTACCCTGATCAGGATGAATATTCTCATCATGCTCTCCCTGCTCCGCCTTGGTGCTGGGCGTATATATGGGTCCATCAGGAAATCGCTGGCTTTCCTTCAAGCCCTCCGGCATCTTCATACCATGCACAGTGCCAGATTGTTGATATTCTTTCCAGGCTGAACCGGTGATGTAGCCCCTTACAATGGCTTCGATGGGGAATACCTTTAACTTGCGCACTTGCATGCAGCGGTTTTGTAGGGCCGGTCGCAGTGATTCCGGAATCTGTGGGGGTAGGTCGAGCGTGAGGAAGTGCGTGCGTAGAGTCGGAATGGCGATGGTAAGTATTTTGAACCAGTGGGTTGTCAGGAGGGTGAGGAGGGTGCCTTTGTTAGGGATTGGCTGGTTCAATTAAGAAATATATTAGTAAACCAAGGATCTGGAGTATAGTTCCTCTTCTCTAAGTCACTGGATACTACTCGGGTATATGGTATACATTTGCCATAATTACGTCGTAGGCGGAGATGCGGTCTGTAGCTACGAAGAGGAGGGTTTGCGGGTCAACTTCGTACAGGTCGCGCACTTTACCCCGCGCGACGAGGGGGAGGATATTCTGCAGATTGCTGGTGGTCATTGGCTCGGCCATGGTTGCTGAGGAGGGATATATAAATGTGTGTTGGCATATCGGCGGAGAATAGCGGGGCGGAGAATAAAATAAATTTGATATTCCGTCACGGCGGGGGGGAATTAGTCAGGGCTTGGCATCAGAGCTCTTTTGACGCGCGGAAACGAATAGACGCCACTTTGATATAGACATTGGGGGAGTAGAACAACGCTATTAGCCAATATAAAAGTGGCCAAGGATGCTCTGAACACCAACACACATAATAGATATACGAAATACTCATATTTGCTTTTGCCTTCTGTTAGTAGCACCAATGTCCCAAATGGCTTGCTGATGCCATTCTTAGCCATGGCATACCTCCTTTTTTGAGCTATTCTATATGCACAATAATACCCTTTGAAAGAAAGAGTCAAAATGACTCGGTATCTCACCCCCTCCAAGATCTCCCTTCTAGCCCTTGTTTCCGTCTACGCTGAAGGCGTGGTCCCCAATTCTGCTATCATCCCCGTCCTCTCATTTCTAGTCTCCCATCTACTTCCTCCTCAGCCCTCAACTCAACATCTCACCTCAAGCAACACAACAACCCAAGATAGCAACCATGCCATTCCAATCCAAGACTTTGAGGCTGCCACGTCATCTCTAGCTTCCTCCATCCCAGGTAGAACCGTCTGGGACCTGCTCCTGAAAAGGCTATGGAAACTGGGCTGCTCCGACGCCCTGGACGAATTCTTCGCTGGCATACTAACCATGCTCACGAAGACGCGCGAGGATCAAATCAATGATCGGAACAATGGTATCGCGCCGCAGACGGGTCGTATGATGATCTCCCGCACATCCCTGCTAGGCATGTTCGTCAGGAGGGCGCATCTTGAGTACACCCGTCTGCAGTTCCATGATGCGGTGGCTCTGTGGCGGGGGTTTATCAAATACCGGTTACCGACGTACCAACTGTGGGCCAAGCGGAATCCGCTAGATAGCCAGATCGCGGTGGATGTTAATCTGGTTGAGCTTGGCCTAGATCTGACGAGTCCGCTGGTGAAGGTGGTGTATGGCGCGTTGGAAGAGGGGAAAGATGTGGAAGTGGGGATGAGCACGAGAGATATTGAGCGGCTGCTGGATTTTCAGGTTGGGGAGATGCAGAGTGCGTTACTTTTTTTTTTTTACTCGAATGAAATAGCGCTGCTACGATTCCCCTTCCCCTCTTTTTCTTGCTTTCGTTCTCTCTCTTTTACTGTTACCTTTACTTAATCAGTGGTAGGCTTTACTGATTTATAATCTAGGCAACGGATGCAGGATTACTGGTGAAATGAAATCACGTCTGGAACAGATGGTTATGTCTGGAGTATCTGTACCCAGCTCGCAACATTATATAAAGTAAGTACTTCACTATTCATCTCGCTGGAGACATGCTCAAATCGTACAACCCTGATTAGATTCCTTGATGCCTGGAAAGCAGGAGATTACCCCTCCTCCTTTGATCATCTACATCGCTACTTTGACTACACCATGCAAAGCCGTGATAGAACTTTCTATCAATATGCCCTTCTCAATCTTGCCATTCTCCAAGCCGACTTTGGCTGCCACGCGGAGGCTGTCGCAGCCATGCAAGAGGCCATTTCGATTGCCAGAGAAACCCATGACATGAGCTGCCTCAATTTCTGCATGAGCTGGCTTTACCACTTTGGAAAAGCCTTTCCAGATGAAATGAAGGACATTCAGAACACGGGCATGTTGGGCAGTGAAAAGGAAGGATTGGCATTTCTCCAGGCGAAGGCTAGAGAGACGGAAATGTGGGGTCTGCTAGGTACATCGTTACTTAGTGAAGCCAAACTGGAGCTGCAGAATGTAAGTGCACTCCGATTCCCGCTATTGGAACATTGGACTTTCGTAACATGCTCATTGTGAACTGCTACAGGGCGAGAGTGTGGCGTCAGCATTTGAACATATTGTCAAAGCCTCATTTCTCAATGTGACGAAGGACGCGCCTAATTTAGCTGGGCCTCTGCTTATGCTGCAAGCTTCGACATATTCTCGAATAGGTAATGATATTTTTTTTGGTCTTTGCTTTAAAACATACTCGGGATTTGCTAAGAATCGTGTAACGCTGAAGGGGTCGCACATCTGGCGTGGTCCAATTGCGAAATCTTTCGAGAATGCTATGCAGAACAAGCTCCACATGAAGACAACCTAAGAGTGACATGTCGGAGTAGCATGTTGGTAAGTAACACTTTTCTCGCGTGGCCTATAACGAAGGGTAAAAAGCTAACAGTCAGAAGCTGGCCGCTAGAGGAAGCTATGGCCTGTCTATGGCTCGGCTAAATGAGATATCTTCCGATTCGCTTCGAGTTCTTAGGATCCAACAGAATTGGACATTCTTTTGCGGACTTTTGAAGCTGCAAAGACAACTTCATCGGTAATTAAATTTCCTTCCCCTTTACAAAAGGATTGGCTGACCAATTAAGCAGAGATGATAAACTAGCAGCCGAGCAGCTTATATCACAACTACGTGCATGTGCTCCACCAGACACAGAATTAGTGTTGACACTCTCGCTCTTGGAGGTAGACTTTTTGATGCGAAAGGGTGACTACACAGCTGCGCTCGAAATAGTTGAGCGAAATGCCCAGTCGATGCGACAGGAGAACTTCGACGTTGCCACCCAGGTCAAATTGCTAGTGTACAAAGCAAGGATCTTTGACCAAACCAATCAACCCGAAAGAGGGTTCTCGTTAGCAATGAGAGCAGCCAATATCGCCCATCGATCACGGTATCTCCCTGGTCTGTGGGAGTCTATCGGCGTGCTCTCCGTGATCCTCATGGCCTTCAAAGAATTCGAAGCAGCCGTCGAGATTCTCGAGAGTATCGTACCTCAAGTTCACGAGTGCGAAGATGCGTATCTCACCGCGCGTACATATTCTCTATTAGCTGATGCCAACATGGGGCTGGCGGGACAAGTGCAGGTGCACAGCCAGGGGAGGGACAAAGTACGGCAGAAGGAGCATATGGCGCGGGCGGTGGAATTTATTGACTGCGCGTTTGGGGAGTTTTCAAATGTGGAGGATGTGCAGGGCCAATGCGAAATGATGGCGAAAAAGGCGACTGTGATGCATCTGTCTGGGGATCTGGTATTGGCAAATGATTATGCGGCCAAGTATCTGGACTTGAAGAAACAGGCTGCAGCAGAGAGATAAGGAAGGGTATGCAACAGTGGTGAATGCGTGTATCGTCTAATAGGGTTGTTCCATCTGCATAAGCACTCTTCCAAACTCTCTGATTTGTTCCACGAGAGTGAGGCTGGGATTAACATCCGTTTGTAGGCAATTATAACCTTGGATGAACCGGTAACAATAATATGACGTTGTCAAGTCCTCCTGGCGCTTCTCGACCTAAAACCGTATTCGAAATCCTTATTGAGTTTGAGCTCTCACATAACTTTGCGCCTTATTTAGCGTTGGGCGATAAGGTCTATTAACTGGAACTGTTGGATTCTTGACTGCTTATGCTTTTATTCGCCGTATATACGCTGAGTCATACCTCCCGCCCCCTCCCGCTTAAATTCCCGTCCCCAGCCATTTGCTTTCCTCACCATCTTCCATCCCCAAAGTCTTCCAGTCTGCTTGTCTTTGCTCACCGCTCTCCACTCTTCAAGACCCTCTCGTTTTACCTAAACTACACCTTATACTCCTTTTTAAGTCCGTCGCGACAAACAACGAGTTTATGTCAATCGAAAACCTCAAGACCTTCGGTAAGTCGCCACAATAACCTGGTTTCGTTCTTTCTTTTTCGACCCAGCCCCGAAGAACCAGCCAAGACCGCGTGCCACAACAGTCACGTCCCAGAGCTTTCTGGGTTTTATTGAGCATTCTACTGTCTCCGTCTGCTGCGGCTGTGTCTGGAAGTCATGGGTCTTTGGTGGCGCCGTTCAGAAATAGCGGGGTACCCGTGATGATCATGTTTTTGTGTATCAAAACAAACTGAAAGAAGGATGGTTTACTAACCAACCACGTGCTCTTCGTGGCTCTGCATGCAACAGACCCCTTCGCCGAAGCTGACGAAGACACCGGCGATACAAAACAATCCCAAAATTATATCCATATACGGATCCAACGTATGTTCTCCCTTTCTATTTTGCTGCTTTATTTATTCGTACGACACACAACTGACGTATGCTCGCAGAGCGCAATGGTCGCAAGACCCTGACCACTGTCCAAGGTCTCCCTAAAAAGTTCGATCAGAAGAAAATCCTCAAGGTCATTAAGAAGAAGTTCGGTACGTGTTGATCTGCTCATCCCGAGTGCTCTGGGATTCGTTTTTGCTAAACCAGGATCACAGCTTGCAATGGCACCATCGTCAACGACAGTGAGATGGGCGAGGTGATCCAGCTCCAAGGGGATCAGCGCAAGGATGTCCAAGAATTTTTGGTCGATAAGAAGGAAGGACTCGAACTCGACGCGAAGACCATAAAGGTATGTTCCACTTACAGTTGACTTGAGAAACACGGCTTTCTTTCTAGTGACATAAATCTAACAAAGTGTCTTCTATATAGGTCCATGGGTTCTAAGCCAATCTCATCACGCCCGTCCCGTATCGTCTTCTCAGTCCACTCCAGAGGATCTATAAGAGCCATATCATTAGTCACCTTTGTCCACTGACTGGGGAGGCTCCCTCTGTGGAGAGATCGCCCTTGATCCGTTATTGGTCTATGAATTGCGTATTACCGTGCAGAATTTCCGTCCTGCGATTTAGCGGTCTGGATAGGATAGAGAGTGATTGGGCAGTCGATTTCATGTGATTCTTAGAACAAAAACGCCAACCATCACAACCGAGGGGAAAGATCACGCCCGCCTCCTCCCTTTTAAATCCGAGTAGACGGGACGATGACGGGACGAGGCGTTGATGAGATACCCCATGATCTGGAAAACCATCTTCTGTTACTTTTTAATGTTTGTTTTTCAGTTATTCATTACAGCTCAGATGACGACAATGGGATGATGGCGATGTGCAAATTGCTCCCTCTTGATGACTTCGTTATTTTTTTTTTAGTCGTTATGAAGTACCACCGAAATGAATCAACAGCTGCATTTAATAGTAATGATAATAAAGGCGGAAGAATAGGTGAACGTCTCGCCGGGTTGTTGATTAAACCAAGCATCGCGTGGGGTGAAGTTTGTAATGTGGCAACACATGGGTCCAAAGTTCCGGTTTGTTTAGATTCTTCGTCGGAACCGCCTTGGCCCTGATTTGCTTTTCTCATTGCCAAATGTTGATAAATCCCATAGTTACTTATCACAAAATGACTATGAATCATCTTCGGAAATAATTGGCGACTTGCTTTTCTTCTTTTTTTTTTTTATAATTCAGATTCAGCATAAAATATCAAGGTCTTCCTAAAGTAGATAACCAACTACCTAATTAAATATATTATTATCTAACCCCCCAGCCGAAAGAGTTCGTTGCGATAATCTTGCTTCCATGCTGTGACTTCCGGCAGGCACAGATAAACTGCTCTTCTACATCTTTTTCTAAACAGTGTGATATTGAAATAGAAGAGAGTAAATTGAAAAGAAGCCAAACAAGGGTGGGGGGGATGAAGTCATGATTTGAGAAAGGGAAGATACATATCATCACATTAGGTAGTTGTGAATTATGGCAAAGAGGAAAAACGTCAATAAGCTTTCTCGTCCAAGATCATTGCTTTGTTTTTTTTTTCTTTCTATGAGCGAAAAGAAGAAGGAACAAAATGGAAAATGGGGATCAAAATTCATATGAACGAATGGACGAATGAATGAAAAATGGAATGGGGAAATGTACTTTGTGAATGAATCACCACTGTTGTTACCTGAGAATTCGGCATATAAAGCTTGCCCATGTTCGACATCGATGAAGAAGAGAAAAGAGAGGAAAGGAAAAGAAACGAAACGAAAAGAAAATCCAAGAAAACATCACCTCTTTCTATCCAGTTGATCCCTCACCTCCAAACCGGTATTGAGCAATCATCTGCACGCCAAATTCCAGTATTTCCTTCCCCATAACAAATAATGGGACTTCAGGTTCATTTTCGCGTGTAAGATGCAACTGCAAAAGCAAGGAGCACATGCTTAGGAAGCTGGCGATTGAGAAAACATAGATCGTCGCAAAGGTTTCTTTTTTAATGTTAATTTGACGCTGGGTGGTGTGGTAGACGAACGAGAGGACCTGTTTATGGAGGCAACGGAAGCGTTAGATATCAAAAGGCTAAATAAACGGGTGCCCGCATACGTATATGTATGACGTTTTGGTGGAACGAACCGATGCAATTGATATCCAGGCTGGAAGCAGGAGGCGGGGATCTGAGGAGGCACCGGATAGATAAAGGATCCACGACGTGAGGTAGGCAAGAAGGCCGTTTGTAGCCAAAAGTCGAATCACAACAGCAGCGGGTGTATAATTAAGAAGCCTTGGGTTTTCTGTATTAGTTTAACGGTAATGAATATGGCCGGTCCGCTGCGACGATCTGTCTGGGCGAATGCTCAGGAGGAATTTGGGGAAGCTCACCATCTAGACATCATACAATCTGTAAAAAAATAAAATAAATATGCAGACGCCGAACACTGAGAGACAGGAAATAAGTTAGCAAGAAGTGTTTTTATACGTATTATACGTCCTTTAACCTCCATCGTCTCCAGGCAAACAAGGCTATGCACACGGGATTCAGCTGCAAAGACAAAAGAGACAAAGCAGGGAAAATACCCAAATAATAGCCAATGCCACTTCTGTAACCCTGAACCGCCTCTCCACGTCCCAATCGGCCGCAGCACCCCTCACAATAGCCGCTGTCCACCCCTCATGCCAAAAATGGGGCCTGATACGCAGTAGCTCTGCTAAGAACGTGAAAGCACAACGCAAGCCCCACCATGCCGCCGGAAGGACACTAAGGCCCCGACAAAGCAACAAGGGAATATACCAGCGGCGGTCAACGCCTAGAATCACTGCAACTCGAGGATGGAGTGAGAATAATACGTCACGGCCATGAAGAGCGGGTGTATCTGACGGCTGCGACTGCTGGGAGGGCTCTGCGGACGGAGAGAAAGCATTGGAGGACGAAAACGGAGGTGGAGAATCGTTCGAGGGCGCCGAGCGAGCGCGGTATGATCTTAGTACATTGCGGGAACGAGATTGGGACTGTGGAAGGGGAGCATGGCGAGAAGTGGGAGGGGTGGGTTTGGTGTTCGAGGAGGAAGACGCCAGTCTTTTGAGTTGACGACTGTTGCAGCCGTGGGCACTCAGGAAATATGTTTGTCTAAAGCAGATTGAAAAAGATGAAAATCAGGGAACTGTTTTGTTGGAGGACGAAAGGATTGGTTGTAATTTCTCTATTGAATGGGTGTTGTTGTCTATGGAGTGGTTGGCTTGGATTGTCCATGAAGTTGATCATGTCGGCAATGACCAGAGTCAGGTGAGTGGGCCTAAGGCACAGATGCTTTGGTCAGCGCTAGTAGCTCCTCCGACGTCGGCGCTGGCTGTCGTTAAACCAGCCCCGAGCTCTAGGGGATAACCGCTGGCTAGGGGGCGTCTCCGGCGTCCACCACCACTATCTTCGCGGTCTCTCAATCGCCTTTTATACCAGTTGGATCTTTTAGACTTCCAAGGTTCATGTCCTCGACACAGACCATGTGGTTCACCCACAGTTGATTGGGGCGCTAACAGAGCTCATATCCATGGATGGTAGGTAGCAACACAGTCGAGGATTGCCTAGATAAAGTTCTGTTCCTAGCACGTCCGCTGGTTGCTGTTGTACCTATTTGAAAGTTGAATATGAAGCAATAACTAATTGATCCGAATTGTTATTAGTGCGGACACTATCTTGAAACAGCTGCCATGCAGGAATCTCTCCGACGACTAGCCTCATCCTCTAACCCATCAATTGTGTCCTGCTCTAATCGCTATCCAACCCTGTAGCCAACACAACGAAGGCAAGCGGCAATGGTCCCGTTCAAAAAAAAATGGCTAATTTATGTTATTCTGTCCGCTGTTCTCCTGTTTGCCTATCGAAGAACCGTCCTGTACGCCTTCGCCCCAGGTGCCAATTACTCAAAGCCGCCGAAAGGATTCAAATTCGAATGGAAGTACTTCAAGGAAAACCACCCCGTGAAATCATTTGTCCCCCTACCTTCTGGCCCGGTTAAAACGCTCCCCAAGGTTCAGCATGCGTTCTCAGATCAATCCTTCAAAGAAATTCTGTCGAAGCAAAAGTCCCGACAGGAAGCTGTCAAACAAACGTTCCTTCGTGCCTGGAATGCGTACAGGAATTACGCATGGATGCACGACGAAGTTACTCCTCTCACAAGAGGATCTTACAACACTTTTGGCGGATGGGCAGCTACCCTTGTTGACAGTCTTGACACCCTATGGATAATGGACCTGAAAGATGAATTCCAGGAAGCTGTTGGCGCCGTTGCTGACATCGACTTCACCATGACTAAATCCGTGGAAATCAACGTCTTTGAAACAACAATCCGCTACCTCGGCGGCCTTCTATCAGCTTATGATCTAAGCGGAGAGCCGGGGCTTCTCACCAAGGCCACAGAGCTGGGAAACATTCTCTACGTTGCCTTTGACACTCCAAACCGCATGCCTGTTACACGCTGGAAAATCCATGCCGCGTTCCTCCACCACAAGCAAGAGGCCTCTGCCCACTGCCTCCTTGCCGAAATCGGCTCCCTGACGATGGAATTTACCCGCCTGTCGCAACTCACCAAGGACCCTAAATGGTACGATGCTGTTCACCGAGTTACAAAACTATTCGAGGAACAACAGGGGGAAACGATGCTTCCGGGAATGTGGCCTCTTATTCTCGATGCGCGCAAGCGAAATCTACAGGGGCAAAGGAATAGCTTCACTCTGGGCGCGATGGCTGACTCCTTCTACGAGTACCTGCCCAAGATGCACGCGCTGCTGGGTGGGGTGGATGATATGTATGGGCGAATGTACAAAGATGCCATGGCTGTGGTGGCCAAACATGTCCTTTATAGGCCCATGGTGCCAGACAATGCAGATATACTCTTTTCCGGCATGGTGACTGCGTATGCCAATAGAAATGTCCAGCTCAGTGCCGAGGGCCAGCATCTCGTCTGCTTTGCCGGTGGCATGTTTGCACTGGGGTCCAAATTATTCGATATCCCAGCCCATATGGATATTGCGCGTAAACTTACAGACGGGTGTATCTGGGCATACAAAGCGACTCCCTCAGGGATGATGCCCGAGGTATTCCACATGGTTCCATGCGCAGCCAACGAACCTTGCTTCTGGGATGAGGCAAAGTACAAGAAGGCAGTAGCTGACGCACATGAAAATTCCCGGCCCTCTCCCAACCAAGGACAAGGACAAGACCAAGACAACAGCGCAGAGGCAATCATAGCTCGCGAACGCCTCCCCAAGGGTATTAAATCCATAACGGACAGGCGGTATATCCTTCGCCCGGAAGCCATCGAGAGTGTCTTTATTCTATATCGCACTACCGGCCGGACGGAGCTTCTCGATACGGCATGGGAGATGTTCACGGCCATTGAGGACATGACGAAGAGTCCCTATGGAAATGCGGGACTGGATGACGTTACGACTGCGACAGGAGCGACCGGGGAAGTGCCGTTGTCAAACCGCATGGAGAGCTTCTGGCTAGCGGAGACCTTGAAATATTTTTATTTGATGTTCAGTGATCCTAGTTTGGTTAGCTTGGATGAATATGTGTTTAATACGGAGGCGCATCCCTTTCGGCGAATGGCGTGATTACGGTCCACTGTCAATTGCTGCATGTTCATTGCGAATTTATGTATATAGCTGCAGAGTTGCTTTAACTCTTTTTTTTGCATTTGGGTGCTGTTGTCCCACTAGCTTCTTTCGATAATCCTGATGTTGTGTAGATGTGCAGAACTTAAATAGAGTACATTTGAATATATTATTGAAGATATCTATGATAAATCTCGGGAAAGAAATTATTGTAGTTTGCCAATCTTACATGATTCATGGTCATCATAAAATAGTTCCTTTTATCCCTTGATCCCTAGTGTATCATCAAACAACGGGACAATGCCGAACGAGAAACCATATTCGCTATCCCCCCATCACATCCACCTGCTATTCATAGAATTACAGGGCATATCAAGAAATAGCTGTGAAGCCTGCGGATGTACCCAAAAATCAAACACCGTTGCTGTCATGTAATGTACAGTACATATACACATGAATATCTCGTCTTGTTCCATTACACATGTACTTGAATTCCTCGTCACAAATGGTAGAATTGTAGCTGGATTTTGTGGACGCAAATCTCGAAGCACTTTCACGTGTTTCCGTCTCTGGCTTGTCCAGGGACAGTACAGCTGAAGGAAAGATAGAATTCACCGTTGACGGGATCTAAGTGTTGATTGCTGTGGGGGGGGGAAGGATGCAGGAGAGTCAACCCAACACAGCTGCGAAGGAGGATATGTCGGTCCCTAGGTTAGACTGTCAAGCTTGTTTGAGCAACCATCTAAGTCCACCACGTATGATGACATGAATCACATCATTTAACACATTTTGCAACCAACAGTTTGGAAAGATGACCTGAATTTTCAAGAGAATTATCTGAAATTTTCTGGGCAACATTTTTGTGTTAACGATCATTGGCCTCAAAAGAGCACTTAACATCCGCTAATTAAAGGATGTCAATGTTTGTGTTTCTCAAAAAGGTTTGTATGAAAAATATATAAAAGTCGAAGTTGAGCTTGGATATTATCGATTGTACACTAATCCCAAAAAGGCAGTCAATTTTTCTTGTCGACTTTCGGATTAAAAAAAACGTCCCAAGAGGTCGGAGAAAATATCTCCAACAAGAATGTAAAGTGCTCCTAGGTCCAATCCTTCTCAACACTGCGCTCAACGGGACCCTCCGCACTCATCCTACATCCACCCTCCCTCCCAATTGGTCCACCCGGTGTGCTCCTTATTGCAATGACATCCTCCATCGCTCCCCGCTCCTCCGCCCTTCTCAACTTCACCTCGCGGACCACCATCACCGCTCCCTATACTCACCTCCGATCCTCCCCTCGATCTTCCCTTTCCCCGTCATTGTCTTCGCGATGTCGCCTTCTATCACACCGTCCCTTCTCCAGCACAACACAGCGGGATGCCTCAATGAGAAACGCCCAGATATTGCGGCCACAACCGCCAGCCTCCATGAGCTCGAAAAACCAGGTAAAAGAAGCCCTGAGATCAATGAAGGAGGGGTCAATTCCAGATGATATGGGGCTTTTGCCGGGCACCTTTATCCGACCTCTGTGGAGGAATATGCCGTCGATATTCAAATACCCAAAGGAGCGGTTGTGGATGGAGTGGGTATCAGTGAGGGCCAAATTTCAGGACTTTGCTGGGTGAGCTTGTGATATAATTATATTCCTCCCAGTTCTATACACCCTGTTTATTACGAGTCAGGGCAGGTCCCTCAGTAACAATATGTGTTACTCTGGCTTTGGGGATAAAATCCAGCTGACAAGTTACTCCGGCGCAATCGTGGCCGCGTCTTAACACCGCTCCCGTTCAGCGTCCTAGCATATTGCAAATATCTCAATAGGAAAAACAAACTTCCTCTCCGTCTCCGCGAGCGAAAACGCGCTGCTCTCGACCTCTACAAAACCATGTACACAGCCTACGCAGCGTAAGTCCTCCGTCCTTGTTAGATGGAGAGAGAACCACTCCGCTGACCAAAAACCCTCCCAAACGCAAAACTCAGCGCCGACACCGCGACCCTTCAAACCATCTGCTGCAACAGCCTCCGCGACCAATTTCTCAAACGAATCTCCAAACGACCCGCACATGGCAAAAAGCTCGTCTGGACCCTGCACAAATTCATAAAATTCCCCTTCTCAACGACCCTGACAGGGGCGCGCGTGATAGCCGACCGTGCCGCGCAGGTGGGCCACGGCGTCGGTATCCGTCAGGTCGTTGTGCGCATCCAGAGCCACCAATCACTCGTCCGCCCCTCTCCCGCAGCCGACACCCAGAACAGCAATGGCAGCAATGGCACACAATCGCAAAGTGCAGCGGTCGCGGAAGCAAAGAGTCAGAAGTCCACGGAATATATTGTGTTGCAGAAGATGTTGGTTGCCGGGAAGGAGGGGGATTGGAAGGTGTGGGGATTTACGAATGAGACGACGATGGAGGATATGGAGACGAATCCCGCATTTGCGAAGGGGTTGTCGTTGAAGGACCGGTTGGAGCTTATGTCCGGAGCGAAATTTTGAGAAAGAGGTATGGTTCGTTCTGGCAATTGGCTGGAGGGAGACGGGGGGGAGATGGCTCATTTCTGAGAAGGGTTCCCCCCGGAAATTGTCATATTTTGGTTTTGAACTTGCTCTAGCATAAGCTGATGCGGGTGTTTTAGTGATTTCTATTAATTTTGCCAAAATTTTTCATATGGGTTTCACGAGACGAGCATGGTTGAGCCGATCCCGCGAATGCTTATTCTTATTCCCCTACATATTGTATATATAGATTTCCCCCCCTGTTTTTTACTTTTTCAACAATGTATAACTAAGTAAAACATATCCTTCCTGATTCCCCGTTCAAACGACAGAACTCCAAACCCCCAAGAGAAAGAAGACCAACGGGGGCAATGTTTATAGTGTATATGTGGTTATCTTTCTATATACACCCATGGACGGGCATTAGTATAACTATATACCTTATATGTAAGTAATCGTGCGTATGGGGTAGTTCCTTTCTCCAAAACCCTGCTGTAAAATCGCCCTTGAACCCGCCAACTCAACGTAAAACTAAATATAATCCAAATCTCCTCCCATCACAGACCAGCCTCCCAACAGTGCTAATCAAAACAAAAAGAAGGTATAGTTCAAAAAACGATAGATGTGACAACAAAATAGGCCCTCCCATTTCGCCTCATCCCTGGGTATATGCAGAACAATATGGGTAACGAAAGATATCCTATATAATTTCCAGGGTACAAGAATCGAAGCTACCTGGGTAAATGCCTACGTTGGTATATACGGGCGCGGACGTGAGTGGAACGAGACAATCGACACAACGCTCAAGGGGCCGGAGCTGCTGATGTGCAGTACACCCATGCACAATAGATGCGGCTATTCAATTCATGCCTCGAGGTCGAGAACGAAAACAACGCACAGGGCATGATAGCTGGAGCATCGCATTCGCGTGAGTTTTTTCCGTCACAATTTTAGCCACCTGCTCGCCGCCACCCGCTCCCGTAGCGACGTTTTAGGCCCATTATTAGAAGTGATATATCCCTCTTCGACATCTTTATTGGAAGCAAATGAGGGTCCTCCGAGACCAGGCTCAATATTAGCTATCGCCTCATCAGATGAATAGGGGCGGGATGGCTGAGGGGGTGGTTCTGGCTTGTCCAACGCATCGAATCTGCGATGCTGCCGTTTTGCTAGGAGGTAGTGGTAGCTCAATCGGAGAAGTAGTGCGCCGATTCCGAATAAGATGCCTCCAAGAGGGGCGGCAACGAATGCGCCTGTGTGGACAGCGTTAATAGTCACAGACTTCACCATGCGATTATCAAGCATAGTCACAGACTTCACCATGCGATTATCAAGCAATTGGTAGAAGCGGGGTATACGATGTGGGGGCACAAAACATACCAAAGGCACTCCAGTCTTCGCCATAAAGACCATTTCCCAACAGAATCAACTTAGCGCCCGCATGCGCGTCACCGAAATAAATCGTCCCGAAAATGAAGACGGACAAAATACCGCCCAACCCTCCAACAACGACCTCGAACCCCGTCCACCAATACATTTTATCCCATAGCCCGAACACCAGCACGGGAATGGAGGACGCAGACACGAGATCTGATATCAAGAAAATCTGCAGCACGCTGGGAGACTTGAGCGCAACAACCACCACGGGGATAATACACAGGACCACGAGAATGCGCACATATATCAGCGGCAGGCGGTTGCGGAAGAGATCATTACTCCCTGTACTGACCATGGCGGACTGTAAGCTGTCAAAAGCAGCAGTGCTAAGCGAGACTGTCATGACGAGCACGATACCGACCACCCAGCCAGGAAGCTGCTCGAGGAGCAAGAAGAAGGCGATTGAGCCCAACTGGGGTGGGTCACCTGGCCACGCGCCAGACCACGCAGCGAGCAATCCCGTCACACCGACCAGGGTGAGAATGCAGAAGACAGCGCCGCTGGCAAGAGATACACCGATGCGTAGGTCGCGATCGGTCTTAGAGGCGAAAGTACGCAGCCAGAAGTTCGATAGGAAGAAATCGTTGGTCAAGATGGCTACGGGCAGGATGTATATCAACTGCCAACCGAGGAGCGACGGTCCCAAGAGGCCAGATGAATCGATGAGCGACTTGTCGATATGGACCTCGGTGCCGACGGTGATGACCGCAATGACGATAAGGCCTACCACCATTGCTCCTTGTACATTGTCCGTGACGAATGACACTTTGAAGCCGCCTAGGGATGTGTAGACTGTCGTCACGACGACTTCAACTATCACCACTGGCAATCCGTTGAGGCCGGTAAGCGCATTGATTATCTGTTGTAACGCAGAGAGTTCCGCAACCATATAAAGGAACAATGTAATCAATCTATTCATGATAAAGTTAGATTTTCCCATCCAAGCTTAAATCAAACAAACAGGACTGGGAATGGGACCTAGAAACATACGTCAGTATGCTCAGGTATATCCCGGCGACAATGCCATATCTCTGTCTCGCCCATTCAGTCAGGACAAAACCCTCAGGGCATTTACGGCGAATTATCGGGCCCAAATATCCAAAAACCAGGAGAGGCAGTGCCGAAGCCAACCCATATACAACTAATCCCTGGACGCCGGCAATAGTTGCGATTTCAGGATATGTAAATAAAATCCCGGATCCAAGAGCTGTAATAAGCGAAAAGGAAAAACGAGGTAGAGGATTCCTAGAGTTAGCTTATCCACAGAACGTCCAAACATGAGTAAAAGGGGAGTATGAGGAGACAGAGAAGCGGCAGCACATTTCCCACGCAAGCATTAACTTGGTCGAGTGTTCCACGGTACAATCTCAGCATCATGCCTGCGCTGGTATACCTCGATAATCTCTCCGTGCGTTTGAAAGAAAAACAAGAGCCAGCGACAGCAAGCCATTGCCCCCGGAGGTGGATTATCAAGCGTATCCAATGCTGCAATCAGCGCCCGTAGTGAAGCCGCAGCAGATGCTGCTCTGGACTCACAATTTCTGGAAGAATGGGAGGGGAGTTTTTGGGTGTATATGCAATCTTGGGAGGGGCCTACAAGCAGGTCGACCCGACACAACATATATCTATATATATTGGTGTGACAACTGCCATATCTTCCTTCCCAATCCCTTCCCCTCCTGCCCTGCAAGCCCAGAACAGCATCCACTGAACTGAACTCTCGAATACGAACCTTCTCTATGCTGCGATGGAAACATCATCAAAAATCCGGATTTCATTATGAATATGAGTTCCGTCATCTCCCTCCACATCCGTTTTAAAACTCTTCCTTCCGCCACTTCCTTCGTGAGACTTCGTGAATTGTATATTGTATACTCATGAAGCCGGGGCGTCGAAGCAAAAGAAACAAGACGTTATCGAACGCGATGGAATATCGCGTACGCCGTCACTTCCTCTCCTTTCTCAATTGTGCGTTTCCACCAGCGCCATCTCCGTGGACACAGCTGCTTAACGCCGTATTTATGTTTGCCTGCTGCCGCTTCTCATAGAGGAGAGGGAGGGAGCAATTGGGCCGCAACAGCGCACTGTCTGCGCAACTCACCGGACGCGATAAAGTTTAGAGCAAGAGGGATTGCTATGCAAATTTAACGAGAAAATATATGCGTTAGCCAGAGGCGGTGTGGGGAGAGCGATGGATTTTGGAAAATGGGAGCAGGCGGGGCAGGGGTGGGGTAAGGTCGGACGGGGTACGGGAATCCTGAAGAAGAGGGGCCATGTATGTATGTATGTATATATGGAGGTAGAGAACTGATAGGAATTAGAGGTTTCGCTCTAGCGTTTCTAACCCTTCTGCGTGCCATTGCTTGACACGAAGTCTTTTGCGGTTTGCTTTCGAAGCCGATATGCGATGAAGAGACCGAGTATACTGCGCGCCAACGGACCCGGAAAGTTAACCTCCGCCTATAATGAAATTTACAAAAAGAGTATATGGGTATTGGAGAGTGTGGTCGTACAGGAAAGCCCCCAGCGTCAAGTAAATCAAGGCATTCGATGCCTGGAAAGACGGTTTGCCCATGCTCTGGGCTGAGGAGTCGCAAAGCTATAGATGCGGAGTACGGACTTGCAGATAATGACGTCGGTATGGATGTGTGGTTAACACAGAAAAACTCACGACGAGAAATCAATCTAGGCAATGAAGGAAGGAGAAGCAAAGCACAAAGGAAACTGAGGGCAAACGGAAATATATTTTCTTTTTATTCGTCCCACCAGCGCGAGTTGCGGCTAAATTCAGAAAATTGTGCGCCCGCGAGCGATTAGGTCATCGTTCGGCGCAAGAACCGGGCTTGGCGCGGTCGGGATATCACGTGGGTGTCGTCATCCAGACATGGAAAGAAAAACTGAACAGCAACCACGGGGTTGAATTAACAACAAATAGCCTGGGGTAGATAGCTAAACAATATACCTTTGTATCTCGCCATAGCGAAATGGAACAAAAAATAATAAAGAAAAGTAAAGTATACATGACCACTTGGCAGTTACCACCGAATAGGACAAGGGAGAGCCGAAAAAAAAAAAGGTTCGGTATAACTAAGGAAAGGTAATGATAAAAGATTAAATATCCCCGGGAATCTCTGCATGCGGAAACCGAGTACGAATAGGAAAAATGCCAAATGCATAGACAAACGAATGGTCTTTCAGTTTTATTAATCCTCGTCAAAGATTTGGAACGTATTCTGCAGAATGGTCTCTATAACACGTGCCTGCCAACCGGAATCCGCAATGCTCTGGCCGGCGTTCGAACCCATCAGGGTGAGACTAAATAGTAAAGATCTCGATTAGCATGCGGTTCTGTGCCGCATCTACATGTTACGTGGGAGTGAGATCAGACAAGCGGGACTCACCCAAAGCTAATAGCGATGTTGCCTGCATTCATTCGATTCTCGGCCGATCGTTCGTGGACGTGGTTGAGATGCTGGATGCAGCAAGATGTTCCGTCAGTAACATAACAACTTACATCAAATGAAAGAGGGGTGAGTGTGAAAAGTAGCTAACCAGAATCAACGCCCGAAGAGTCGCATAGTTTGGATCCGGGAGATTGTTAATAAGCGCATGCAAAGCATCACGGCGCTGGATATCGTCGTCGCGACCTATATTTCTCCAGCGAGAGTTTATTTTAGCACATAATATACGCCTTGTGTATATTGGATAGGTCACGCATCACGTACGGGCAGCATTGATGAAATCCGCATAATGCTTGTTCGTGAACAACGGATCAGGAAGCTCTCTAAAGAACTGCTTCAGGAGGCCAGCTACACTGTTGACATCGTGGAAGAAGTTCTCCGGGTTTGTAAAATCGACTTGGGAGGAATCTATATATCGGATTGCATTTTGGAGTTAGGGCAATGAATTAATCCACGATTGCTGTTTTAAAATAGGAAACGAGGGGCAGGGCCATGAGAAGATTTCTCGCATACCATTATCAAACAGCGACTTCAGATGCGCAATGTGATTGGCATTGCCAGAGAGACGATAGATGCCCTCAACATTGAGGCCGAAAAGCTCAACACCCTGGATACACTGGTACACGATCATGGGGATAGCGGTCCCATCTCTCTGGAACAGCTCCTCTAGCGATACCCCAAAGACGGGTTTCAGGGGTGGTAGATCTGCACCATGCCCGTTCCTCGCTACCGGAAAACGTTCCGGAGGAGGCTGCTGCTGCACCGGTGAGTAGGGCCGATACTGTGGCTGCATCTGAGGGCCAGGCGTCGGATATGGCATCTGCGATGGCATCTGCGGTTGCATTTGCGGGGGTGCCTGTTGGTGCATGCCATATGGATCTTGACGCGGCGGTTGCTGATATGGCGCTGGATAGGGCAGTTGCGTCGTTGGTGATTGGAAGGGCTGTGACGAGTTTTGATGCTGGGCTGGAGCTGTCGCAGATTGTGGAGGCGAGGAGCTGAAATTAGGCCCTGGCAGTTGCGGAGGAACGTTGGGGATTGACGAGATGCCCGGTTGGTTTAATGTTTGTATAGGAGTCGGCTGCGGAGGAGGAGTCGCAAGTGTCTGAGCTCATGTTAGACCGGGGCAAAAAAAAAAAAAAAACAGTAGTATAATACTAGGTCCGCACGAACCGGGTGTTTCTCATATTTGACCCCAGCCGACCCCGAGCCAATCTTTGACGCATGGCTCAAGATGAAGCTTTTAAAATCCTTCTCGTCGTCCACTTGAGCCGCAACTTCCCGCAGACTCTTAAACCCAGCAGCATCGGGGTTCACGCCGTTCTTCAGCGGGCTCACGCAAAGACCATTTCCAAGCATAAGCTTCTCCGTGAACGTGGCTAGAAACACAGATTATCAGTCACCCAAAACTGGAACACTACCGTATCCCCGACCTGACAAAAAGGAAAAATACATGACCCAATGCATACCGAATTTCTGCATCTGAAGGCTAAGGCCCGAATCACCCTCCGCGACCAAATCCTGCAGCGCGCGCACCGCCTGCGGCCGCAGGGTCGACATGAGCTCGTTCTTCAGACCCTGCGCCGTCTGGACCTTAGACGCATATTCCGAATCCGAATGCTGGACTTTGCGCAAAAGATCCTGTTCATGCTGCGCGGCCGATTTGTGTCCCTTCAAGCCGAATTTGCCAGGTTGGGCGTCGCCAGTCCGAGCGCGGTCGTATTGTTCCGCGAGGGAGTTGTATTTCGCCTTCGCCTTCTCCGCCATGCTCTCCGCATCCTGCACGCGCTTTTCCGCATTCAGCCCGTTTTGCTTCCAGTGCTTCCGGCCCCGTTCCATATTCGCCACCAGGTCGTTCAGGTCTTCCGACATCTGCTGCAGGGAGAGCGCAAACTGGAGGCCATGGTCGGCCATGCGGTCATGGATACGGTTTATCTCCTCACAGCCGGTGGAGAATGTGCCTTGGCGATTATCGATGCGTTGGGTTGAGTCATGGAAGGCGCGAGCGAGCTTTTTGAGGCCTTGCGCATGCTCTTCTTCTAGGGCGGATCGCTTGCGAAGGAAAGTCGAGAAGTCCTGGATTTGTTTGAAATCAATGGGTCATTGGGGGGGTTCGACGATTGAGGGATGAAGAGGGGGGTAAGATTGAGGGGGGCCCGAGGGGAGCTCTTCAGTGACGAACTTTAGTGGATGCAATGGTCTGTTTCAATCTAGTTAATAGAATCGAAACTCCGATCTGTTTTTTTTTTTTCGTGTGGCACGAATCGCAGTTTGTTAGCCATATGCTCTCTCCGTTGCATACTATACACATACAACTACTACAACTGGCGGAACTGCGCAACTTCTCCACATACATCTGACTGCAGGACCTTTTCCAACTGAGCCATCTCCTCTGGATTAACGGCCGCAGGCACTGGCTCTGGCAATGCTGTTTTCTCCGGTGGCGACGGTGAGAGGGGAGGCAGCTCGCTCTCTGGTCGTAAGGGAGTGTCTGGCGCAGGGCCACCATCGGGAGGGGGAGGGCCGTCTGCCATAACTAATAAAGAAATAAATGGGCCGTCTTGCTTGTAGAGTACTAGTTACGGTTGGTTGGGTAGAGGAAGGGCAACAGTTGGGCGTGGGTGGTATCAGAGCAAAGACCTCATTGTGCAGTTCCTCAGTGCAGTGTGGCTTGACTCGTCGGGGCCAGCTCAGACTGGCTGTGTGTGGTTGGTTCCTGGGACGTTGGATGTTTGTTGGCGTTGTCGGGGTTGTGGGCGGCGGGAAATACGTGGGCCAGGATCGCAACAGGCGCTGAGTGGGGGCGAGGGTAATCTATACAGTTGCCGCTAGAGCCTCGGTGGCAGCGGGCGGCGTCACGTCAGGGGATGGGACTAGGTTTCGACATATTGCGAGCACTAATTATACAATCTAGTTGATGTTGTTCATATCCCCGAGTTATTACTGTATACCAACTATACTATCTATCATACGAGTTAACAAGCCCGTTGCTGCGTATCCCAACCACAGTTACACGGCCGAGTGTGTGCAGAGAGTATGGATGCATATGCCGTTCTATTTTAACGCCTTGTAACCCAAGGAAACTTGAAGCTTTGCCCAACCCGCGGTCATCTCGCTCACTTGCATGTTACGTATGGTAGTGCCCTGGGCTGCCCCTTGCATTGGTTGACATTACTCCATGCCTGGCCAGGGGAACGAGATTGCCTATATTCAAGGTTTTGCAGTAGTTAAATGAACAATCGCAAATATAGAAAGAAAAAAAAATTCTAACTATTTATCCACAGATGTTCTGCGCAACTAGGATTTGTCTCCTCGATGTCTCGTTTCCTTCTTGAGGTATGCGCTCAAATCCCACATCTTGTGTGCTACGTAAAGACTTGCAGCAGGGTAAAATGTGATTTCACGAAGCTCGTTGGGAGAGGGGAAATATTACTATTTAAGTGCCCGATCGATCCCAGGTTTTGACGTGGCCTATCTTAATATTTTCCGTGTTTCCCCCTGTGGGGCTTTCCCTCGTGCCTTCGCTTCTTCCCACAAACTACATATCTACTGGATCCGGAAAATGGAACAAAGCGGAGCAGAAGGGTTAGGTGGAACAGGAACAGAAGCGGCATTTGTTGGAGAGGAAGTGTAAGAATGTTGCTGTTCCATGACAATGAGAAGGGAGACATGTTCTCCTTCAGTAAATGAACCCTCTCACATACTGAACATTGCTGTTCATCCTGACGCCGAATTTCAGCGCCGCCAAGGCACTTCCCGTATTACTGCATTGAGGCAGGTGGCTCCTTTAAATATTCACCCAAAGTGTCGCCTTCGTGTTGTTAAAAAGGCGTTGACCACTCTGAATGGTTGAGAAGTGTGATGGGTATTTGTTGACATTGTTTACTTTTTGAAAAGTAGTTAGTAGCTCTGGAGAAACCAGACAGTAAAAACAATCTGGATGCTAGAAGTCCAGGTTTGTCGATGCAAGAATCCGTGAAGAGAACTGGGTTGCTTAAACAAATATCCTGACAGGAACAAAAACGAGCTGATGGCGGATACCAGAGCTTGTGACCCCCCAACAAAGAAGGAGAAACGTGCAGGAAAAACATGCAGAAGAACACATGTATGTTGGAGACCCCAACATATGAAGGAGCCTGAAGGCTGGTGGGATCAATTTCCAATTCAAGGCTGCGAAAGAAGCCCCAATATAATTATTCTAAACTCTGGCATCTCCGGCACTTCTTGAAGGCCACCTCCCGGACGCACAAGGGCAGATCGCCGATCCCTTTTCAACACCTCACGCAAGTACCCGACTCCAGGCCGTGGTGATATCGACTTTTCCCCGACTCTTCTTCTCTTTTGTTATATTGCCCCGTTGTGACATCTTCTTCTGATTAGCTCTCTGGTATGTGGTGGGAACAGCAAGAACAGCAGCAGGAGCAGCAACGGCAGCAACTTTGCCCCTAGGAGACCTCCCCGCGGCAGCCCGGGCCCGCTGGCGCGGCGTGGCATTGGGGGGGAAGGAAGAAATCTCCATCTGTCTTATTGTGCTCGAACAAATAGTAGGCGTTTATCGCCCTAGCGAATCGCTTACGTAGCGATTCCAATTCCCTATATTTTCCTGGTCCTTCCGCATATAAGGCCTCTAGGACCACCGCCTACTCCCTATAACGCTCGGACACCTATTACATTAACATTCGATAATACTTCGATGTCATGTATATTCTGACCTCCTACAATATGAACAAGCTCCCGGGTGTTAGCCCTGTCGTCCATGTATCATCAGGACAATCAATGTTACCAGCTGTAACCTTTTCAATCTTTCTTGGAAGTTCCTTGCTAAGTGATGAGCGAATTAGTGTCATGAACTTGATGGACTATTTTGTAATTCTTTTTAATCACTTACCTTCACATATTCTGATAATAGCCGCGTTCAATGAAAGAAGGACAAGAACAACTTCGTTGACTTCTTCTTCCGGCTGTTTAGCTTGGCCATAAGACCAGACACAAACCTTGGAGTTGGCGCTGTCCTTCATTGCCATTGCAAGAAGGGTAAGCCAGGCTGGAGCACGATCCACAGACGACACTGATAATCGAGCGTCATATGAGAAACGGAACTCAGGAACCGTATCGTTTATCAGTTTGATGGCCGTTTTTTAAAGTTCCACGAGAGAAAGAAAACGGAGCTGGGACTTCTGTAAATAGAGAAACACGCCGTGAAGGCAAAAGGGTTTTTATGTACAAGCCTTTTGACGGGTGTTTTCTCAAGGATTAGGAACAAGAATTAAAGAACTAGTTATATTGAATTGATTCTTTTGGTTGATTCATTCATCCTAAGTGTTAAAAAAAAGAAATCAAAGAAATCTCCCCTTTTAAAGAAATAAAAACAAACAGGTTTACAAAGGAAAGGAAGTAATAAGGGTGCCCTTAAGGATCCACGGGAAGGAAGGGTTCGGTTAAGAAAAGAATCTAGCTCTCTCTGAGGGCATTGAACTCGTGGGTGTGTCCCAAGGACTTTAAAAGGATCTGATGAGATCTTCATGAATGTTAGCAAGGAATCGCCCGATTCGAATTTCGCGCAAGTGAACCGCCGCCAGAGTTTTCTATAATTATCTTTAACGTGCAAACTGTTGGTTTCGCGAGCGGGTAGAAGTTATCGGTTAGTGCAGTTCCATTTGAGTTTCACCGAATGGCGCCCGATTTCAAGAGTCAAGGATGATGATTCCCAAACACTTCACGATGTGGTTCCCACACTATGCTGCGACTGGCGGTCGCAGTGTATAGGTGGTGTTGTGGCCCTCTGTGGTCCGGGCCATACCACCACACCCACGGGTAGATATATGACCATGATCGCAACCATTTAACAAATGGTTATGTTGGCTTTTTGCTATGGATAACCTAGTGGTCATAGTGCTACGTTATCACAACGAAGCAATATATTATGTGATTAGTCCAGAGGCCCATTTAGCCTTCAATAATGCTTGGTCAGTGACTGCAGAGCATTTTCAAAATACAAACTCGAAGATTCATCCGGTTTTTTGGGGCTTTTACCCATCAACTAACTGGCCTGTTGATTCCGATAGCAAGGAAAATTGCATTCTCAATTTGGCTTTGCATGCATTTCTTTCTTCATGGGCCGAAAGGAAGTCCTCCACAGGTTCCCTCAAAGGATCTCCTGGACGGTACCCATTCTGGATATTGCTCTTCCCATATTTCTCCCTCGTCATCGAGGGTGTGTCGCCGCCATTGGAGGTATACCACGCAGAGCCGAGGTGCGCTCTTCAAGGCGATTAGGTTCTTCAAAACAAGAGAGACAGAAAACATAAAGGGGGTGTGTGATTTGTCCAGATTCAATTTGAGCCGTGTTATGACGAAGGTGGTTGACAAGATATGTGTGACAGGCTTATCCTATTCATGGACGAGAGGTCAGAAGTCTCTTACCAGCTGGGTTTGAGGTTTATCATCCCATTCTCTCCCGTCCTGGAATAGCCATTGAGGATGCTAGTGTTGACCCCCTAAGCCCGAGGTGTCCATAACAGCTCAAAGGTAGTCAATTCGAAAGTGATGTCAACGAGCTATTTTTTGATCTGTTCTAGAAGATCATCCTGATGATGCCACCCCCAGCCACATGAATTGTAGCATACTAATTACACGATGCCAAGAGCTTTGAGAAGCAGCTTCATTGCATATGTGGGGAGTAGATGATGATGTCAAGTTGTATTATTCATCGACCATCTACACGCCCAGCTGAACCGCTCCCTCTGTCTCAGATTGACAGATCTTGCACTCCACTGCGACCAATTATTGGAGCCACTTGATATAGCTGTATGAATCTGCATAGTTTATAGCGTTGTCATTGGATACCATTGCTGCACAGTGCGAGCACTGACAATTCGACACACTTTATGACACGTTTATGTTATAACTTGAGCGAGCCTGGAGTCTGTATCGCTCCATGGAGAGACATTTTATATAGAGAAAGATAATGTGTCTTGAGGACTCACATCTCAACCAAACTTTTTAAAAGAAGATTGATGGTTGTCGTCATTTGCAGTTGAATGATCTTATCAACGACTATAGCCCGCAGCTAACCCTTCCTTTTTAGCTTGTAGCGATAATATTTTGACTGATACCTGCCGATTGTCTCAGAAGCAAGGCAATGAGGACTGCAGATGATTGTGAAGACAATCGCTATATCAGGACCCATGTATGCGCCTCATCGAAGACAGCAACGGAAAACCGACCAGCCAGGTTCAGAGGGCAGAATTGCGGATTTGTGGTAGGATGTGATCGAACCCACGAACTAATTGCTCCGGGCCGTTTCAGGTCATCAAACTCTGGTATGATGTAACAACAATGTTTCTGCGGCTTGTATGTAGATTGCAACTTGGTGGTTGGCCACTTTTGCGGCAAACCCCCGGCCCAGGCCTGAGCTATATTATCTACTTGAACAGTAGAGATGGCTGGAGGGTTGTTTTTGTATGGATGCTTCCCGCATAGGAATGCAACTGCTCCGGAGCACACTTCCTTCGTCAGGATGAACGGTAAGGAAACTCTAATTTTAACGGCCGACGCGCCTATACGCCTTAAAGTTGATGCGTTTTTTACTTGCAGCCTGGTCTGGGAAACCATCTGGCAACCTTTCAAGTCCGTTGGTGCCGCCTGACGCGACCAATGCCGACGCCAAGGGGAAATACCGATCGTCGTGTTGTGCTTGGGTAGCCCTATCGAAGAGGAGTTCGATTGATGTAGCTGCAACGACAGCAGAGGTAGCAGGGGCATCGGCAGATCTTCCTTTCGCGGGGGACTTCCCCGCAGCCGCACGGGCTCGTCGGCGTCGCGCAGCATTGGGGATGTCCCTGTATAAGTTACAGGCGTCCCAGCATTCGACAATCCCGTGGTTCCAGCTTCATCCGCTTCTCTCTTGTGTCATCGGATGCTCTTTCGCATAGCACATGTCTACCTCTTGTAAACATGCCTATCATGCTGTTATATGCCTTCTGGTGATCGGAGCATCGGTTGGGCTGATACCCGGAAATCGGCAAAGGAACACATATTGAAGACTCCGAAAATGACAGACATCAGACATGCTCATCTCATTCTCAAGCGCGGTATCTGTAAACCCAGACGCTAGATAAGCTATCGGAGTCCTTGGCCCTGGCTTTGCCTTTATCCTCTGGATTCCAATCATTTTATTAGACGTTTAAAGAAATAAAAATAAACAAGTTCACAAAAGGAAGTACAAGGGTATACTGAAGGACCAACAGGGAAGGAAGGATTCTGTTAAGGAAAAACAGTGTGAGCGTTTGCATCTGCTTGACATTGTGAATGTAATGACATATAACAACAGATCGGAGTAGAGATATAATGTTATACTCTCAGATCTTGCTCATCAATTAGAAGGCAATCATAGCTGACCGACAATAAATAATTCTATAATAGTTTCATAAACACACTGTGTACTGACTGTTAAAAACGCCACAGTGGAGGCGTGGTCAGTGTAGAATATGGTGGGATGGGTAGCTGCTTCAACTGTATGATGGATCCTACGGAGAGTCCATCCAACTCTGTTGACCAGAATTTGTCTCCGCGTGGGATAACGAGGATAGATAAATGATGAAAACAACACAATAAACCCAGTTTATTGGTATAATGATTGGTGTAAAATGTCTCTGACTCTGAAAGGAACAGTATGCACTCATCCGATTGTCGAACTATGTTCAAGTACTCGAGAACTCCTCTAAGGTTATACATATTCTCTTTCATGGTTGCATAGTTTGCGGATGAGCATACTTGATATTCTTTTTGTCTTTTTGTTCTTTTTTAATTCTTTTCTTCTGCCACCCTGAGTTGGCGGTGCGAGAAGCTCGCGAGAATAGTGGGTGAGGGGGAACAAGCCAAGGCACGATTATACCACCTCAGCAGGTTGACCTCTAAGTTCGGCCCGTCGGAGCATAATTTCGTGCTCTAATCAGCGTGAGACGTGGAAAACAAGATCGGAGAGAAGATCTTGCTGATTCTTGTGGTGAAATGGCTATTCTGTTGGTATCATCAGTATTTCTCCTTGCGGGATAAATTTTCGCTGGCAATCCAGGAGCGCCAGGGACTAGAAAAAAGAGAAAGCGTCGTGCTCCGAGGCGACATCAAGAGCAATTACAGTGATGAGGACAGACTCAAGTATTAAACACCCAGCAGCACTCTGAACTGATACCGCTGCAAGTTCTCTGACCAGACACAGTCAGCCGTTTGCAGAAGAAAGTTGTCTCCTATATGTATCTGATCACAGTGTGACCTATTTGCATGACACCGGCGACAATTTTTGAAAGGCACTTCTTGCACGGTAAGCGAAAGTTCCCCGATGCCTTTGAGGCGTCTCACATCACAATCCGGCAATAAACTGAGGTGGTATCGTTCCTCATCCTCACCCGTCCTATTGGCATCATTCTGTGTGCTTTCCTTAACGACGGCCTCGTTAGCTTAGTGACATTCTCGACTATCTGATTAAATTGTGGTAAAGAACATATTTTCGTTGGCTATTCACTACAGATTAGCACCACTTGCCTAAATCCTATATTACCTAGTTTGCACTTACAGTAAGTAGCTTCGATGTGGAAGTGGAAAATTTTGGAGACGAAGCGATCAAAACTCATCAGCAGACGATTCTTATCGATACTCCTTCGATAATATGATAATTACCTAATGTTTGATCCTTGAGAGAAATTTCTCTCAAGGAAATACTACATTCACGAGCCGATTAGCGAACTTTGTAGAGATGCTTGAAGGGAGATACATATGCGAGTGAGGGAAGGTAGGAATTGTATCTTCTGCGAAGGGCAATGAAGACTGGAGAGGAAGAAACAGAAACGGAAACGGTAAAGGGTAGAAGCCTTACAGAACATTGAACGACTATTCTCTCTCGCGCCAGGGGGTTAGGGAGGAGTTGCCGAATCACTTCCCAGTTTAAGACGTACCGGGCAATGTGCGAGCCGCAGGATCCCCAGTCCACTTTCTTTTAAAGCCCACTATGAATGAAAATCTCATCTTCTAGATGTAAAGATTCTCCTTAGAAACGGTGGGCTTGCGTATTCAGAAATGTATGCAGATACAAGTACATCATCATGACGGTGTTAATATATATAGTTATATGTTCCGAATCCGTTAAATATTTGTAATGTAAATTGGAAGGGCCGGAGTTTTTTCGTCGGGCCACTAGATATCGCACAAAAGGGTCGAGTAAGTGGTACTGGCGAGATCCAGATTAAAATCAAAGTCGCCATACCAGGAGATGCAAGACCGGAGGACTTAAATTCCCCTTGCAAGTTGCAGCCCTTGGAAAAGTGTAGGGTGGGTGCCAAAATAAGAGTCGATCCAAACATTATAGACCTGCGTCAGCTCTGGCGAGGGCGATCACTTCATCTGAATGAGGAAAATGGTTTGTAGACAAGCCCACATTGCTTCCCAGATGTAAACATATTCATATGTAAAAGATAGTAGTAAAAGAGGATAAGCGTCTCCGGTGTACGATCAACCCTGATCAGGACCGGCGTTCCTTCAGCCGATTGTTCTCAAAAGGACCTCATATGTCTAAAACCCTCCAACAGTTCATTACCTGATGGGAGATGGATTTGTTGTGGCACTAAGCGAGTTGGAACTATGGGGGTTGAGTGTTTCATTCAGACCAGCAGGCAAGCAGACAGCTGAATAAATAAAAAAGAATAAGGGGGTTTCAATATGTTGAGGGTCCCGGTATATGGGATCTGTATCAAATATATAAACTAATAAGAACGTATATCCGTATATCCGTATATCCGTATATCTGTATAGTCCGCGTATATATGCAACAGAGTAGTCCCAAAAAAAGAACTAATTCAGGGCGGAAGAAGAATAGAAATGGCGGATGCACCGCAGGACTTTTTAAGGGTATATATATCTTACTGACTGATCCGTTGAGTGATTTTCATCGAGATTCACTTGTTAGCTGGGTGAGGAATGAATTTGTACTTCATCGTATCTAGAAAGCATGGATGAATGGTAGCATGATTGACAGAAAACCCAAGGGCATCATTCATTCAGCCGTGATATAGCCAACTTCCCAAAAAGGCTCCACTCCTTCACGGTAGACAGCCGTTCATCACAAGGGCCAGAGTCTGGGAGGGGGGGAATTCTGGGCCTGTAAGCACTTGTTCACCGTAGCAGTCTGGTAGCAGTGCCAGCAGCAGCTGGTCAATAACATTTATGCAACCCCAAGCACTTATCAAGAGCAATTGGCCATGATTTACTGGCTAGCCAGGAAGCCAAAGCCTCGAACGTCATTTATGATCAGATTCTTTGCTTTGAATCTTGAGATCTGGTCTCTCGCATCTTTCATGGTTCTGCGTTCCAGGTGTCTCATCTACTCTTGGCTGGAAAGGGATCTGGCAAAGTGACAGTCTCACGCCCAATCGGCGCAATGTCAAAGATGCGGTGCCACCAGTTGGTTGGTTTGTTCCTTTCAACCCCAACCTAACGTCTGAACAAGGATTTGATTAAGAAGAGAGAACGAAAAACAAAACCAACGTTGGGGAAAAAGAAAAAATGGCAGAGTGGAAGATGGTCTAGCGAACCCCAGCCTGGGCCCCCCGGCATTGTATGGCTCGGCGAGCGGTTCAATGTGCCTAGCTAAACCCGCTGCTGGCATTGTTGAGCAATGCTGGACGACGAGCCCCGCTTCAAGAACCGCGGAACCTGAGTTCAGAGTGTATGTACTGTGTAAATCACTGGAGAGCCCCTTTTTCAAAGAGATATAAAAGGGCAGTGCGGCAAATGGGCGGACAAAATTTGGAAAATTTGGAAAACCCATTTTCATCAATCACATCAGCTCAACAGCTCGTCGCCGGGTAAGGGAGACCGTAATACTGGAGTTATGAATTGAGCACGTTACCGTTATTCCCCTTTCCCACAATTGTGCTTTAAATAATTGTCCGAAGGAGAGCAAGCTTTTCCTTCGTTGAATCTCTAGACCCTTTTTCCAACTTTCTCAAATCAAATAGAGAAGAGAAAGTAGAAAAAAGAAAAAAGAAAAAGAAAAATCAATTAACATTAAAAGTTCAAAGATACAAAGGTGCCCAGGCCCTACGGCGGCATCGCACCCCCCCCCCCCCCCCTGAAGACCACTACGAGTAACGTTGCCGGCCAGCTGTTGAGGAATGGCCTACAATAATGGCCGGGCGCCAGATTGGCGGGCTCAGGGGCCAGGAGAAGTTGTAAGCGTTTTTTTAGTTTTCTTTTCTTTTCTTTTCCTTTCTTTTCCTTTCTTTGCCCCTTGTTTTGCGGGGGAAACTCTTGTTTTACTGTTGAGATGCTGTAGGATGCACTTTGCAGTGTATGTACGTGTATGTCGGGTAGGGTTGGCTGTATGAATATATGAACACCTTGTTTGTACTGTACATACATGGACATACACATTGATAATATATATTACATATACATTTATAGGCTATCACTACCTCTGTCTCGAAGGTATGCTGGTGGGGAAGGGGTGAAACTGTTGGAGACGCACCCGCCATCACAATCTGGACAAGCTTGCTTCATATTAGAATTTTTCTGAAACTCTTCACACGAACTGTAAAATCTCTACTTAACTCTCCTGGTAGAAAGTTTACTTCGCCAAATTTGAGATCAGGTTTCTAGATATATTATCCCCACCTTGCGTCAGGATATGCGGATATTTTTAACCTGAAAAGTTTCTATATTTAAAAATGTAGGGAGCTGATAAGAATGGCTGCACACTTATACAATGCAGATAGAAGTATTGCGCTGTACATGAGTACACTTTCCACGCTCGATATCTTCAGCAGCTATAACTATTAAATACCCATCAGTCGTACGGCAGGACAGGGATCGGGCAGTAGCAAGATCCTCGCAACAGCAACACGACAGCAAGATGTCCCGGATACCAGTACCATATAACATGTCTGAGAAGGGAAAGTTGATTGGGTAAAAAGCCCCTCCCAACCGTTGATAGAGTTAAAAAGTGCCTTGGTCCTTTCTCCCAATGCATGCAATCATATTTTCCTAAATCTAGTGAGCAGTGTTGGGTGTGGCTATTGGATATCTCCGTCAACAGGTTTAATAATGGAGCCAGCCATATAAACATAAATATATATAGATATCTCCGTGTCTGGAGACCCTTGTTTACTGCAGCCAGTCTGCGGGGACGAGCCTGGGATGGCCACATGGAGATGGCGGCACAGACTAGCTGCGACGGAACATTGAGGATTTCGAGTCGCACATACTGTGCTAGTATGAGTGGAGATTGGATGCTTGGAGGGTTAGAAAAATAGAATTTATACTGGGTGGTTCCAGGCCAACCAAGCACATGTCGGGGCGCATAGATAGAAGGATACTAGTCACTTCCAGATACCACAGCGCTTATCGGTCTGCCAGCAGGTCACCGTTCACGCTGAAGGCTTGAAAACAAATAAAAGACAATAGATAGAGTTAGATCAAGAGTGCTAGTATCCCATACAACAACCAATGCCGCCTCTGCTCCTCCTATGTACATAGTATGGAGAGCTATGCTGCGAGATCTGCCCCCAGGGGCACCAACCATGGTTACTTCGCTGCAGGTTGATGCGACCCGTCTGAGACCCATGCCAAGCCTCTCCTCAACCGTCCCTGTCTGGTCTCCGACTCCTCGCAACCACCTCCTGTTACCTCATCTCAACCTCTCCTCCTCTCCTGCTCACCTTTTCACTGTCTCACTCTCTGGCTCCCTCTGCGGTTGTCTGTCGTCTTCTTATCTGCTCTCTCGCTCCCTGCTTGAGCGGTGCTGTGTCTTTTGTCTCCCTCGCTCTTCTGCTTGTCGTGGAATCTGACCATCACCAACACCTTCGCCAGCCGGGGTATCTTATCGTCGCCTCAACACATTCCCTCCTCCCGTCCCCGTCGCTGAAGGACTTGCGATCTCTCCCAGTCACTGAATTCCGGTTCCTCTCCAATTGGTTTTGTTGTGTGATCTAACCCTCCATTATTTACTACTCCGGCCGCCGCCTCCCGAACGAACGATCACCCCCGATTCCATCCTCGTGCGTGATCAAAAAATTTTTAACTCTCCTTGATACAAAAGGTTGCAAGATATTCAAGACAGCACCAAAGAGGTATATTATACCTTGTCGAAGAGAGAAAGTGCCATCATAGAACCTCCTTGTGTGTTTCTTTGGAGCAGAAACCGCCTCTGGATTGAATCCTGTTCGAATTGAGCTGGTGCTTTATTCGTTTCTTGTTCAGGCCTTGACATCTCTGCTGCCGGACTTTGATCACCAACTGGCCCTCTTTGACGTAATCTTCTGCTTTTCTACACGGGCTCATTTTCAGCTGCTGAATCATTTCGTTATTTTTTTTAACTTTTTTCTATTGGCTTTTTCCCCTGAAAGCTTAACAAAAATGGCCTCTGGACCAGCCACTCAGTCATTGAAGGTTGGTTAAAAGTGCTGCTGGCTCAAATACACCCTTTTTGATTTGTATAATTTTATCTCCTGATCAATCTGCTGACGGTTTGATCCCACTTGCAGTGTGTCGTTACTGGTGACGGTGCTGTTGGCAAGGTAAGCACTTTCCCCCTTAAGCTCCGTGGCGCTTCGTGTTGATATCCTGACTAACTTAAAAATCTTAAGACATGTCTCCTTATTTCTTACACCACAAATGCTTTCCCCGGAGAGTATATTCCTACTGTGTATGTTTATATTCTACCTTCTCGATCGTTTTTCGGTATATCTGACTGGACGTAGGTTCGACAACTACTCCGCCAGTGTAATGGTTGATGGCAAACCGATTAGCCTTGGACTTTGGGATACTGCTGGACAGGAAGACTATGACAGATTACGTCCTTTATCGTATCCACAGACCGACGTTTTTCTCATATGCTTCTCTATCGTTAGCCCACCATCTTTCGATAACGTCAAGGCGAAGGTGTGTTATCATACCCTCAAGACTTTGAGACTTCCGTGGTCTCTCTCTCTACACGAATTCTTATTAACTTTTTGCGTAGTGGCACCCAGAAATCGAACATCACGCGCCCAATGTCCCAATAATCCTCGTTGGGACCAAACTTGATCTACGTGAGGATAAGGCTACCGCTGAGAGTCTTCGTGCAAAGAAGATGGAACCAGTTTCTTATGAACAAGCCCTCGCTGTTGCCAAGGAGATTAAAGCACAGAAATACCTCGAATGCTCCGCCCTCACGCAGCGAAATCTGAAGAGTGTCTTTGATGAAGCCATCCGGTATGCTACTTGTATCTGCTCCTTGTACCATTCAACAATATCGTAGGAGACTAACTCTTTCCAGTGCGGTGCTGAATCCGCGTCCCATCGCGAAACCTAAAAAATCCAAGTGCAGAATCCTCTGAAGCTCTCGTCCAGCGAAGCATGGCAGAATCCATTGGACTGCCCGACTTGAAAAGAACGATAGAAATAGCACTATGATATCTCCCTGAGCACATTACTGTCCTTCATACATTTTATTTGCTTCTCAACTGAAAGCAAAGTACCCAGCAACTCAGCGAACATTTGCGATTTTTTTTTCTGAACAGTTTGAATTCGACTCGATAATGAATATGGTTACCCTCCTTTGTACGAATCGGGGCAAACCACGACCGCTCGAATGTTTTCAGTAGAGCGTTAATGACCCGATTCAATATGGACGACAAACCCTCATTTCCCAAGTACCAATTGGATCTCCTGCCATTTTCTTACTGTTATTTCCAGCCTCTTATTTTCGATCATTTGAACCCTGGATTTTCCCCTGCGTTCGCTCCGTCCACTGCCGGTAATTAATTTATTTGGCGTCAAGATATACTGTGTGGGCAACTTTCCCGAAATATTATGAGATCTATGCGAACTCGCGTACCATCATGTGCTTTTTACTTTCCTTCAAATCCCAATTATTTTTAAAACCCTTCCTTATTCTCTTACCTATCCACATTTGGAAACAAACTACTTTCCCGCACTCCTTTTCCAGTATCCCTCTATCCCCTCCATTTGATTCGTCCCTAGTTGTTAAAAATCGAATCAATACGACCTAACGAACTGCCCGCCACCCTCAGATTTTCCTGCTTTCATTGTTTATTTACCACTTTTTTTTATTTTCTCGCTCTATGGTTATTTTTGCCTACCACTCGCCCATTGCTGTTTGATATTGCTTTACCTCCCCGCCCCTTTTCTTTGTCCATGTTTACAGTTACCGGTGGATCCGGTGGGGGTTTTTTTCTCAAATTTCATTTCCGTCATATTTCTATTTTTGACCGCATATTTTGATTTTTTCTTTCTTTTTCTTTCCCCCCTCCTCAATTTCTTCTCCTTTTTCCCACCCACCCTTTTTCCCATTCTCCCTACCACCCCCGCAGTTTCTGTCTTTTTTCAACTTAATATTAAACTTCAACGCTATAGAACTCTTGATCAAGATCAATTGCCTGATTGTGCTCTTATTTTTTCTTTAACACTTGGTAAAGCGATTTCCGATGCTTTTGATATTAATGCATAGGAGAGAAGATGACCAGGGCAGAAAATTTCCTTTCCGTTTGTCTTCGTCTCTTCTTTCTTCATGTATCTTCTTCTCTCTTTCTTTCTTGCAACTTTTTTATCTTGATATTGTTTCTCTCTTAATCCTAGACATAATGGACGGAGTACGAACTTCTCTCACTCACTCTTTCTCTCTCCCTTTCTCTCTACTCTTATTTATTCCTCACGATTCCGACACCGTCGCTTAAAAAGAATGAAAATTGGAAAAATTACAGATTGAAATCCTTTGTTGTAGCTATCCATATGCCTTCACGCTATATTCATGCAATCATCCCATCCTGTCCCGTCCCACCCCCATCCACACACCCACGCACCTACTTTACTCAAACAAGACAACGGACACACCGTCTCACCTGTCATCGCCCCCTCACATTCCCTAAACCACTAGTCGTATATGCCATTTCTTGTCCGGAGTTTTGCGTCGTGGCAATTGTAGTTCCAGATTCCATTTCGTAATGGCGGAGACCGTGTGTATATTACTGGTTGTAGTTCTCGAAAGCCTCAGAGAGAAAGGGGGACGTCCGAAAGAGGTGCCGTTGGAGGTGTCGATAGCTGAGATGGAATGTAGTGCGTACACTTGGTGGAATATCGCAATGCATATTAGAATGGAGCCCTGATAGAGATGGCGGCACGCTTCGGGAAGGAGATAATGTGTACCCCGGACGCATGGTTCCGAAGGAGTATTAGATAGCTTCTTTAATCACAGCGAGTTAGCTTCCGATGTATTTCTCGCCGGCGAGAGCAGAGGCCTAGGCCTAGGGAGAGCCAGCGAGAATTTTCGTTGGTGTCCAGGATCTTCGGATGCGTTATTGGGGCCGTTAAAAAGACGTTTATGCATAAAGGCTCCATCTGCCACGCTGGATCTAATGATGTCCATGCCCATCTAGTTGGGTTTTCACTATTGTATAAATGTTCTTACCGTTTGGTAAATACAAACTTGCCTAGGTCTCGGGGCCGAGTGCGGGCCAACCAAGGCTTCGTGGTTAGATGTGATATTAGATGGGGTTGCTTGTTCCAGAATGTCAAACAATCTGGTCATAGTGTGATGAGCCATGAAGGACTCGAGACAAAGTGGGAAAGGTAGTAGCGGTTGTGACTATTCTGCAAAGAGGTTTTATGTTAATTATCCAAATCTTAATAACTAAGTGATAGAATGCCAAAGTTAAGGAAAAACCTAAAAACGGGAGGGTAGAAGATTAAAGCAGAATAAAAATTCAATATCAATACAATATGAAAAGCACAAGTGATAATAAAACAAGGAAATCGGACAGACACGCCATTACTCCCACTCCATTCCCCGTCTCTTCGTTTTGGTTAATATTCCTGGTTACTTACCCAATGCAATTAAATATTGAAAGGTATCGTTCTCAAGAACCAGGAACCCATTTCCTCCGACTAGGATGCACATCGTCCATATCGTTTTTAACTGGCACAGCTTCTGAATCGCCACCCGGCTGAGTAATGTTGGGGTTCTTTTTCTGTTTCTGAGCTTCCTTCGCAGCGCGAGCACGTTGCTCGGAGAGCTTCGTATTCTTCTCAACGATGCGCGCTTTACGAGTTTCGGATTTCGAGCCACCTCCACCAGCACTAGTAGAGATGTGTAAGTTTGAGAAAGTATGTTGGCGTGCGGATTAAAAAGGGGGAGGGGGGAGAAGGGAACGACAAAGGAACAAGTAACCAGAGTTGCAACTACTAGGAGAGAAATGGAAAGAAGCTCTCACGTTAACTCAACGTTGATTTTCCTGGCAGGGTTCTTGCCATCGTCGAATAAAGAGTGGTGGTACAGCTTTAAACACGTCTTCATGCGATCGTAACGGTCGAATTCGATGAATGCAAAGCCACGGCCCTTCTTCCCACCTTTTTCGCTAGGGAGCCGAATATCGTTGGGTTCGATTTTTGAGAAGTGTTTTTGCACGGCTTCTAGGGTTGTATGGAAAGGCAGGTTACCTGCATCGTCGTGTTATTATCATATAGTGCGTAAAGGCAGAATTGGAATGCCAGTGGGAACGTATGTGTCAAACCAGGGGGAGTATTTACCGATGAATGCGATCAATCTCAGGTTTTTCTTTTCTCCGTCATGTCCGTTGGCACCGTCGATATTTTCATCAACGCCATTCTCCGCAGCAACATCGGTTTCAACCACAGGCGTTTCTTCGGTAATTTCCCCATGCCTGTTGGTAAGTGCTGTTCCCATTTTATTTTTCTTATCCTTATCTTTATTCCGCTTCTTTTCCTTCTTTTGCTCCCGTTGGCTCCCTAATTGTTCTGCCGAGTTTTCATGCTCCTCTTTCTCCTCGCGGTCCCCTTCCACGTTTTGCTTGTCCTTTATACTTTTTCTATTCTTCTTCCTCTCTTTTCTCTTCTTATCCCTTTCCTCTTCCGCTGTTTCGCCGCCATCCTTTGCTTTCTTCTCCTTCACCTTTTTCTCCACATCGTCTTCCGCAGCACCGTTTGCCAAATTCATCTCAACATCCAGGTAATTGCCGTTAACTTCTACATCATCCTGAACTTCGTTGTCCTGGTTCTCCTTCTTCTCCTTCTTCTCCTTCTTCTCCTTCTTCTCCTTCTTCTCCTTCTTCTCCTTCTTCTCCTTCTCCTTTTCCTTTTTTTCTCTCTTTTCCCTCTTCTCCTTCCTCTCCTTCTTCGATTTATCTATTTTCCTCTCCTTATCGCTATTTTTGGATTTCTTCTGCCTCACCTCCGTAACTTCAACCGCATCATCTTCAGCTGGGAGCTGGCTCCGTTTCCGTTTATCGCCCATTTTTTCAGGCGATAGTATTCTACGAACTATACTGGGCTTCTGGGCTTCGAGAAAACAAAACAAGAAATGTAATTAGCGAATGGCAAAATGAAAATTAAACAACTAATTTTCCGCGAGTGTCAAGGTGCATATGATGTGAAGGTGCAGACTTACCAAGTGATTCCTCTTTGCGTGTTCCGGTCTTGTTAGATATCCCCACAATGCAGTTGATACTTTATTTTGGCAAAATTTAGTCTTTTTTTTTTGGCGGAAATATTTCTGCCGGCCCAGTTAGGCGGTGAGAATAAATGAGCTTCCAAGGTTCCAAGGTGTTGGGCACTAGTTGCCCAGGTGGCCCTCCACCGCACATGATTACCCCTATATAGTTAGCTAGTGACCACAACAATAACAAGATCAACCATCCCACAGGTTATGGCTCAGATAGCAGTTTTTTAAGAAAAACAACATATTTTGATTAGAATATACTGCAACTGATGTTATATTGAATGAGTTAGATATTATTTCTCTGAAAAGAGAGCTCTTTGTTTATAAAAGTGATATAATTGACAGAATTACTGTCAAGACTGCTGCAGAGATTTTATTACTATCTTGAAGAAATCAAAAATTTATTTATTTATTTTCATTCAGAATCTTTCTAAATCAGATTGATTATGAGTAATTCTCAATTATCTGCAACTTTTATATCAGAATATAAGAAGACACTACATTTATAATCAAGAGTTCTTCAATTCATCTTCTCTATTACTAAACAAAAATTCATCTCAGAAGCAGAGAGTGATTAAACTAAATATACAATAATAGAGAAAAATATAATAATCTCTAACTTAGTATATAATACTGATAAAATATCAGAATATAAGAAATCTGAAGATGATATACTCAGTTCTATATTAATTTCTATATCAAACTCTAACAATATAGTAACAATGACAGTGATAGATTTTATTACACTCTGTAAATAATTAATAGCAGTATATATATCATTTTCTTTATTATCTTTTTCTTTATTTTCATCTTCTCTGAACTCTATATCAGAAGAAGATCTGAATATACTGATTTGTAAATATCAAAAAAAAGCACAGATCTCATTGAATACAAAGTTTATTATTATATTTGATGATATCAACTATCAGATATAAAAGATGATATTCTTTTCAGATACAGAGATAATCAATAATACAGATATTTTTAATAAAAATCAATAGAAATTATCTGAAGATTTATTAACACTCAAATAATAATATTAAATAATATATTTAAAACTACTCTTCTATTATATATTACAATTTCTGATAGATTCTGTCTATTTAATTATAAAATTTATTTAACTCAATAATATAGCAGCTCTATAGTATAAAATAAACACAGTATATATAATATCTCTAGAGAAGAAAAGAATTAATATTCTCAAAAAACTTATCTATTTATATATCAAGAACAGTGATTATCTGATATATATATATCAATATCACTATCTATCTACTTATATATAACAACTAATAGAGAATTATAATAAAAACTATCTTTATAATTTCTTTATTATCAGTCTCTGAGATTATCAGAGAATCTACATCAAATTATATTTTGATATATTTTATAAAATAAATCAGAGTTTAATTATTAATCTAGATATTAATAATTTTACAAAATAAATTGCTCACTGAATGAGTAAATCAAAGAATTCTGAACATCTTAAAACTTCAAAGATCAATGCAATTATCAATAATAATAATGACAACAATATAATCATTATTACAATCTTATAATGTAGATATTATAAGATTTCAGAGTATATAAAAATTAATTGTTATTATCTGAACTCTGATAAAGCATCTGAATGATAAAGAAAGAAGAATAAAAATAATAAAAACACTGATAATACTGAAAATATCAAAAAAAAGAAAGAATAAAAAAAAAATAAAAATAATAATAAATCTACTGATATTAAAGTATCAGATCTTCTTATTTTACAATTTAGTATCAATACAGTATTCACTCTATCTATATCATTTATTATAATATTTAAATTTTAATATCTCAATATCTGTATAAACTTTAATATAATAGATGAAAGATATTTATTAGTATATATAAAGTTATTTAAAAGAGATTTAGAAATAACTACTGTGAATGATGATGTAGAATGAGTTGAGAAAATAGATGATATTCTTCTAAAATCAGAAGAATTTTGATTTGCATCAGCATTATTTTTTTTATAACTTCTTCTCTTACAGTTAGATATTTTTCTTATTCAATCTAGCATTGTCTGTTCAGATCTGATGTGTCTTATTTTAGTTTGATATTATCTATTTAGAGATAATACTTGCTTTTACTGCTGTGATCTGTATCAACATCACTTATCACAACTATATAAAATGCTTCTTTTTTTCTCTCTTGTACACACACTTTCTATCTTATTTTTCTTTTCAATTTCAATCTTCTTTTATTTTCTCTCTCTTTATCAGTGATCATTAAATTCTAATATCTGTATTTCTTTTTCTCTTGATAAATACTGAGCTGACTCATTATTATTATCATTATTATACTGAATGAAGTTATTCAATCTGCTATAGCTCAATTATTTTTATAATAATTCATTGTCTTTATAACTCTCATTATACTTTTGTACTTTTATTCTTCTATAGTTTACTGTTTTTATTCTTCAGTTTCTTTTCACTATTTTTTTATTCTTTATATATTTTTAATTCATTATATCTCTTACTGTTCTTGAACTGCTGATCTTTTTTTCTTCTTTTTTCTTATCTTTTCTTTTTTTTTTTTCTTTTTTTTTATCTGATATTAGAGCAGAGAATATATTATATTTTGAGTTAATGATAAAAATACCTCATTCTCTGTGAAGCTGTATATATAAATCTAGATTTAAAATTGCAACACAGTCATATCAGTGATTTTATCAATCAATTTTTGAGATAAGCTTTTATATAGATATTCAATAACTTTGAGAAGTTATAATAATATAATTATCTGATCTGACTGCAGTATTACTGATGACTAAATCTCTGTATATTTTATATAAATAAACTGAAGATAAATAAATGATTGTTATTGTTTTTTTTGTTTTATATTATCTGTACTGCTGTGTATATCTGTATCTCTTATCTCTATAAGAGTGATATATTCAATTTTCTTACTGAAGATAAAGTTTAAATTTGAATAATAAAATATTAGCAGACTGTGTAAGCTGAATGATATTGACTGATATATCTTATAATATCAATCTCTGCTGATTATTCTCATCACAGAATTTATATATAATTTAGTCTGTTTCTATATCTGCAGTAAAATGAATTATTGCAGTTAATCTAGACATTATTTGAAATCTCTTAATAGATTATAATCATCTCAGTACTGTTTTCTTCTTATTCAAGTTATATTAAAAAGTTATATATATTATTTATAGTATGAGAGACTGCTAAGATGGGCTTGCTGTTCTTTTTGAATATAATTGAAGAGACTATTCTTAATCAGCTTAGCTTATATTATATAAAAATAAGAAAACTGTATTTGACTGATTTGAGTCAGAAAATAGCATCTGCTTTTTTAACACAGTGAAGTTTAAGTTATTTTACTCTATATTGAGTCAGTGTGTACTATACTTCTGAATCTGTTATATAGATATTCTTTTTTCTTCTATAAAATTGTGAACTTTATTAGTAAGATTGAATAAAACAGTTTATGAGATTATTTCAGAGCAGATAAATATTATTTAATTATTATAAAGTTCATCAATTATATCTTCTCTTAGTCAGAATATAAAATCTTTCAAGCTTATTTTAATCACTTTTATTCTTCATACTCTATACTTACAATATTTTCTTTGAAATCTTTCAGATCTTTTTATTCTCTCTCTCTCTTTCTCTTCTATCTATCTGACTATTCTAATATTATCAATTTCTTATTATATTCTATATCTATATCTCTTCAGACTCAGCTTATACATTCTGTATTATTGAAATTATATTCTCTACTCAGTCATCTCTTTTTTAGTTTTTTATTATATACTCTATTTTAAAACAGCTGCAGCAGTCAAAATTCAGCACAGATTATTATACTGAATGATTTCAATAAAATATTTATAGAGAATAAAATTGCTGAAGATTTTAAAAGTAAGAGTTTTGTAAATTTAATTATTGATATCACTTCTTATAGCAATATTATTACTCTAGATTCATAACTGCATCTGTATAATATATAATATGATTTTATAGATAGATCTATTGATTTCTTTATTATCTCTTCTCTTTCAAGAGTATTGAATATTCTGAACTTCTTACATCTCTAATTCAGATCTTTTTTTAAATTTTTAGAAGAGAAATAAAAATTAATATTAGAAGAAGATAAATAAAATCTCATCTAGTCTGAAATTATTCATGAAATTTATTACAACTCAGTTCATTTTATTAATAGAATCATTCATCAGTAATAATAAATTAAATTCTCTGCTGATATCAGAGAAGCAACTTCATTTATTAAAATTAAACAGAGAGTAAGATGAAATACTCAATCAAAAATTCTTATATAGCAGTCAAAATAAGTCTTTACTGCATTTTTTTAATTATAGATCTATTTTTCTTATATATGTTTTTAAAAACAGAAATCAGTTCTAAGAATAGTACTACAGTACAGAGAGACTCTGTATTCTCAGATAAAAATATAGATTCTACTTCTACTATATTAATAATTTATTCTATAAAACTGAATCAACAAAAAAATAAAACTAATATCTGCAATACTGAGAAATATTAATCTCTCTTTATAGAATAGTACTGTCAATTCAATATCAGATCAATAAAGTCTATAAAGTCTATAATTACAGTTGTAATTTCATTCATCTCTCATTATCATCAAGAAAACTTAGAAAAAATCAAAAGAAATGAAAGTATACAGTATGACTCTGAAACTCATCAATGAAATATTCAGTCAAAATCTAAATATAAAATTTTAATTAAGAATTATCATCTTATCAGTAGCTTAGTATA